GAAACAATTATCCTGTATGACATTGTGAAATAACAGCATTGTTGATTGCAGAAAATTAGTAAACCAAGGAACAACACAGACTCATTACAGTGTAAAAATCATCAGGAAAATTTGCCTCTCCATACAAAAAGATAATGTGCAATATTATAAACTACAATAAATTATGATAAGTGTTCTCATTTTAAATTTATTTTCCTAGAATTGTATCTATAGTATTCATTTATTTGTATTTGTTATTAAATCATTCAGATTATGGATTGTTTTAAATGATAAGCAGCTTTGTGTCTGGATAGTGTCGAGCATCATAGGGCCTCAGTCCACGAATAGAAGCACTAAGTAAAATGGTAATAAACATAGCAGTATTAAAATGATATCCCTCACATGAGCTTCTCCTGAGTAGCTAATTGTTTAAAAACCACTGTAAAGTCTGTACGATGATTTGCTTGGCAATACAAAAATGCTGAAATAACAATGGGCCACATTCAGCCAACTCTGTAATTCCTTGAAGAAGTTCTTGCTGCTAGAGATTAAATGAGTTAGGAAACTGAATGACTGCTACTCAGGAAATGAAAACACTTTAAAATGTGTTTTCTAATCTAAGCAAAGCAGATATAGAGGCACAGTCTTTGCATCTCTACAACAGGAATTTGAAGCCCTTTTCTGGAAAACGTGCATCCTCATGCCAGTATAGTGTGTCCTGTGTCTCTGAACAAAGACTGGTACATGAGAAAACACTTCTTGTCATGAATGCGATTTGTAGATCCTTTACTTACATTTATGAAACAGCCATTGTTTGACGAGGGTTTATAGTTTTCATATACAGTTTCTGTGAGGATGTATAAGAAGTGTTTTTCATTCTTAAATGCTTGAGTTGTCAAAGCAACTTCTAATTCACAGTGATTTTGATGGAAGTTGTATCAAGGTCATGGGTGAAAACTTGGCCCCATGGAAAACTGAGGAGCCATGGGCCCCGGCAGGCATTCTGGAGCATCTCTAGGAACGCCATACGGTCACCCATGCAGCCAGGTGTCTTGCAGCAGATTGTGTCAGTACCTGGAGTTGTAAAGTAAGTAGCAGAAAACGGCATAGAGAGAATCTACCCAGCTGGGAGCCTCATTCATCAGTCATTTGTTGGAAAAAGCAACCTGTACAAATTTTATAGGGAAAATATATTTACTTTCTTAAATGTATCTATGTTTGTTTTCATTGCCCGTGTGAGGATGCATTTCTTTCCTCTACAGGACTGAGATGCTGCCTTCATTCACTAGGATCCAGGTCAGGCAGTCCACATGTATACTGATCTGCTGTGCAAATGAGTTATTTTACTTGTTAGTCTTAAAGGTACTGCGTTTCAGTTTGCTCTTTTCTCTGTTACTTAAGAAAATGTGGAAATTGGTGGAGGCTGACTGACCTGCTTTATGCCCCTCTCTGCTTTGTCTAACTGTCTTTTCAGTTTTTCTTTGCCTTCTGGACATTTCTGTTTGAGCTCTGTATTCTGAGGCAGCCAGAGCAGAAAAAGTATCCCTGAACACAGCAAAACTTTCCTCTATTTGTATTTTAATTTTTCTGGTGTCATTCCCTTATTTTCACTTTGTATTCCAGTCTTGGACAACTTAACTTCCTTTTCTTCATTAGAAGTGAGCTGAGATCTTAAACTGCTTTCCAACCCTGAAGGTTTAGGTGTAGCTTACAATTTTGCTCTGAGAAAGAAGTAGCCAGTTGTACCAGTGTTTCCAGTGTATCCCTCATTTGATCCCATGCAGGTGCCTACAGCAAGAATATGACTCCAGTCTGCCTACTGCTAGTGTCATCATCTGTTTCCATGACGAAGCCTGGTCTGCTCTGCTGAGAACTGTGCACAGCATTATGGACACAGCCCCAAAGGCCTCTCTGAAGGATATCATCCTAGTTGATGATCTCAGCCAGCAAGGTAGTCCCCATTTCTCTGTATGTGAGCTCTTTTTTCCAAAGCCTCAGGGAAGAAACTGTCCTTCTCCAAGATATGTATAAAGAGAATAGAAGGCAAAGAGGACCCTTAGGAAGAGAGCTAAGCAGAGCCCTGAGCTGGCTGCCAGGTTCCACTCTTCTATCCCTAGAATTCAGCTTAGCCTTTCAGCTCTGAAACATGTTTCTTTTTTCTCCATCATTTTCAATCACTCTGAACTTTCTTACTTTAAAATAAGATCACAGTATGCAAATCTTAGCTTTCCCACTGGACCAGATCTGCTGTAATAATTTCCAGACTTGGACATTGGCTGAAGTGTAGAGTGGGAAACTCGACATTGCTAAAGTGATCCAAAGTGCTTGGGAAAGCCAAACACCTGTAGTGTCTCACTCTGATCTGCACCTTTTATGAGATGATGAGAGCATCCACCTTTTGCTGAAAACAGGAGAGGAGGCTATTAAGTTTCCCACAGGAATAGTTTCACACTCAGTGAATCTCAGTTTCCATTAGTCTGTACTTCTCTTTGACATTATGCTGCAGTGGGAATATTTGGAACATGACCTACTTGGCCATGTAAAACAAATGCCCCCAAAACATTTTACCAGCAAGAAGTAGCATCTCCTACTACCTGTTGCTTTTCTGGAACAGCTTGAATCAAAGCTAAAACATTTCAGTGACTGTTCTGTTTCTGACAGGGCCCCTGAAGTCAGCTCTGAGTGAATACGTCTCTAAGCTAGATGGTGTGAAACTCATCCGGAGCAACAAGAGGCTTGGAGTCATCCGAGGTCGGATGCTAGGAGCTGCACGGGCAACCGGGGACGTGCTCATCTTCATGGATTCACACTGCGAGTGTCAGAAGGGCTGGCTGGAACCCCTCCTAGCCAGGCTGTCCAGCAACCGGTAAATACCCCTGTGACCTCTTAGCTCCCTGCATATTTCTGCTGAAAGAGATGTACTTGGAAAGATTTGGGTATTTCTTTTTTTTATCCTCTCTTGGTTACTTTCTTCCTTCTTGTCAAATTGCTTTTATTTTCTACCTTACCACCACATGCATCACTCTGATATGTGGGAAACAGGATAGGTCACACAGCTGATGATAACCTTCACTTCACACCCAGTATCACTGAACTGTCAAGAGTTTGTATCCAGTTAGAGCTATAAGAAGGCTTCCTGGTGGTCTGAATTTAAAAGTTTTCAATCATCTCAAGCTGTTTGTGAATTGGCAAACATCCACCAGAGAAACTACTGCAAGACTCCATTATCTTTACTTTTTAGCTGTCTCAGTAATGAAGCCGAGGATAAAATGCTTTGTCCTCCTGAGCCAGTTTGGCTACACACCAGTGTCACCTGTACTGTCTTTGTTCCCCAGAAAAAACAGACTTTCTAGGCAGCCTAGACAGTTCTAGCTAATCGCAGGTACTCAACTGACACCAGACTGACAGAGGAAGATACAGATTCGTATTTTCTGTCTTTCAAGTTTAGGTTGGTGCTTGGGCCTGCTCTCTAATGTACAGCTGAGCTCATCTATGCAGTCCCCAAGTCCTTCAGAGAGATTAAATCACTGCAAATGTTTCAAGAATTACATGACAGCAAATCCTTTATTAAAAGGACTTTTCTGAAAGAAAAATTTATACATTAACTTGTCTATCATTACCCATAAGCCACTTGGGGAAAAAAATGAATAATTGCTAGAGGGGGTAAAAGAAAAAAAAATCTTTAAAACTCTTACCAGACCATTAAATAGTCATACTAAAGACCTTCAAAGGCTGTTCTCAGCCACTGGAACAAGCTGCTTTTATGGCTGATTATGTTTGCTTATAAGAGAATTAATGTGAGTTTTTAGAAATTATTACATCATTTGGATGAAAATATTAAGAATATTGAAAGTAAGAGTAATGTTGCCCTAGTATGTCAGGAATATTCTTTTCTAAAAGGTCCTCCTTGGAAAAGCATATTATTTTTTGTCTGCTGACTTATTAGATGGTTTATTATGAATATACTTCATGATTCTTCTGCCTTGAGCTATAGTCTGTTGTTGATGTTCATGCAAAACTCCTACCTGTATCAACTGGCCAGTCCTTATTCAACACTGTATGACTGAAATTAAGAGTTACAAAAAGTCTCAGAGGAGAGCTATAGTGAAAGGAGAATTACAATGGCAAGAGAGAAGTTAGGACTCCACCACAAGTGTAGTGATTCACTGTCAAAAATTATCCCTGCTGAGGGAATGAAAAGCCACCAAGCCTGCTATCGCTCTGAGATTTCTGTAGCACTGTCACCAGGGGGTGGGAAAGAGAGTCTCTTCCTCTATAGGGCCCATATGCTCATTCTTTCATCCAGGAGGGCAGAATTTAACACTGAGTTAGCTAATGGCTAATTGGAATGATGGAGAAAAGATGGAAGAGAGTTTGGATAATAGCATGGGCTAAGCCATCCCTTTCTGTACGCTCTGTCAGTCACTGTGTCTGACCCTGGAAGCTTTGTCACTGCTAGTGTGGGGAACCTGTGCCATTCTCCAGTGCACGGGGAAGACATGCTCTAAGACATCTGGCAATCACTTTCCCTTGTTGTCCCTCTTTACCCAGCTGAAGAATGGTGATAATAACACTGACCTGATAAGGAAGTTAATTCATGGTTTTTCCTATATTGCTTGTAATGCTTGCATGGAGATCGCTATGGAAATGTAAAACATTAGCATAGTCAACTTGGCTTCATTTAGCAGTTGAGGAGTTGTTAAATTGAATCATGTGCACTCCCTCAGACTACCCAAATGAGGAAAGTACGTCAAAAAAAAGCTTACCGTGACTGGTGAAATATCTATCTTTCCTCTTCTTAGTGTACCAATCAAGCTGCAACGTACATACTTTTGCTGAAGAGACAGGATGGGAAAACACTTAATCATCTAGAGTAGTGAGTGAGTGACTTGTTCACTGGCAAGGAAAAATACAGCCTTTCCAAAGCTCAAACCTTTGCAGGAGCTTAACAGAGCTGGAGGGAGATTTTAATTTTGAAAACTGTGATTGAGCCTAATTTTCTAGACTTCTGATCAGATCTACCACTATTATTGTGACCTGCCTTAGAGCGATGCCAAGAGATCCTTGCCCAAACTGAGACCTCACTGTGAGTAGAACACACTCACAAAAAAGGAGATAACCCCAGTTCTTAGTAGCTTGTGGTAATGACAGAGAGGACAACCATGAGAAAAATTATCATAATTTTACAGGTATGGAAGTATTTGACAGATATTTGACTTGCTCTGGGTGATGACATTTCATCTCCCTACTTGATGGTTTTATTCACTAACCCAATCAAAATTATTTTCCCCAAAAGTATTAAGTCTTTCTAAAATCATTACACATGCATTTATGGGCACCTTGACTGGGACAAGTTCTGTGAACCATACCTAACAAATTGACTGGGAAGCTGTGCATCAGCTTAGTATATTGCCTAGAGAATGGTTCAACGGTTTGCAAAGCATCCCTTGACATTTTGATTATTCAAGGATGAGTACCGTAGGTACCTGGATAACATTAGAAAACTAGATGAGATGCCCTACAGATCATTTCATTTGACAACTGTTTGTCTTCCAGGCTAATTCCAGGTGAGTAGCGTGGTGCATAGTAATGCAGCTGTGCCATTATTACCATCATCTTTTGGGGGGTTTCCCTTTTCCTGGAGACTGCAGGAGACAGCTGCTATTTTGTATTCAGTCCAAAGGCAGTGAAAGGCAGAGGGAGTGTATAAAGAACTGTGCCATGAAGCCTTGAAAAGGTTGTTCCTTTAACCTAAAAACAGTGACCATCATGCTGAAGCAGGGTGACTTTGAAAAAAAAGATCCAAAGTGTGGTTCCTGAGAATACTGCATGAAAGCAAAATGAGCCTTGATTATATGCTTGATAAGGAATTCCACCTCTAAAGAAGGCATGGGCACCACAACTGTGGCAGAGGGGTGGCTTGCAAAGGGGCAGCTAGTCCTTAGGACCTTTCCCCTGCTCCTCGTTGCAAGGGCCATTTCCCTCTGTGCTGGTCACTGCCTATACCACAGCTTAAATATTACATTAGGAAACAGAAGCCTGTGATATTATTAGAAGAAGCTTATCTAGTTTCTAAAATTCAAAGTGCCTCTACTTAGCACCGTGCTTCTAGGTCACTAATCTTTAATGAAAATGCTGTTAAAAAGAATAAGAAATGAACATAGTAGTGGAAAAGTATCTCATCTACTGTTTGCTCCCATCCGGGAGTGAATGAGAGCCTCTGCTTGTAGATAGAGGAATAGAAACGGAGTTCTGTTGTCCAGAAAATTTCTGTGTGGTTCTAGTTTTATGCTAATATACTAGAGAGAAGGGAAATATTTTGCACTAAAGTTGAACAGCTCCTTCATCTCTTTTCATCTGATTCTCCACTTCTCAGTGGCCCGTACCCCAGCTTTTCAAGCTACCAAATACATTAGCCATCTGTTTTCTACCTTCTCACAGGCTCAGGGAAGCATGATGTTATCCATCCAGAGCCCACACAACCCAAGCATCTGAGCATGTATTTCTGTCCCACTCTCCTTGTTTTGAAAGCCTTCCATATACTTCACATATAACAGCCTGCTTCCTGGGACTTCTCATTTTGCCTAATCCTTTTACATCCTCCATTTGTCAACAGCACTTGTTTCAAATTCAGCAAATTAATGTTCTGCATTTGCATGGTATGTTATGTGAAGATACGCTATCTCTTTACAATCTTTCACAGTCGATCAGGATCAGTAGGTGACCTATTTTAAGGAAGCTGAGGTGAAGAAACTGAAGACGAGAATCCAAAGCCAAAAGCAAATATTACTGCCAAAAGTAGGAGCAATGAGGATTTAGGCATGATTCGTGGCACAGTGCCCTGACTGTCCAGTGTAAAAAGGTATTGGTCTCTCCTACAGATTTTGATACCCCACATACAAATTTGAATATTTTAACAAAACAGATAGGTTCAAAAGATTATTTTTTTTTAATAAAGCATTCCCTTAGCACTCTACCTAGTGAAGATTTGAAGTATACGTTTAGTGCTTAGCATATGAGTAGTCCGTCAATTCAAGGAGACTGTTCATATGCCCTAAGTCAGTCTGGAGTTGGTCTGTAAGGCAGTATTTAAGTAATCCTTTATACCATAGCTTCACCATTCCTGATCACTGCATTTTATCTTTTTATTGACCCTATCTAATTTCAAATATTTTGCATTACTATTTCCCTGAAGACTTCAGCCAGCCAGCAAGGTGCTTTCAGTGAAAATGCAGGGTGCTGTGGAACCAGCTCGGGTTCTCTGTTACTTACTGAAGTTTTGACTACGTGCAGAGCCAGAGAACTTGGACTGCCTGGATTTCCTAGCTATCTAATTTTTGTAGGGAATGATCCACTCTGAATCTGCTTGAGGAAAATACATAATTTTCATGTTTGTGGGGTTTTTTTTCTTCCTCCTTATTTCAAGGGGGATTTAAACAAATTAAAATCTGTTCCCTTCCCAGCAAAAGAAAGTATAAATCAATAAAAAGCACTTTCAAAAAACAGTGTATCTAAAGCTTCAAAACAGATGTGTTAATTAAATCTTCCTCTCCTCATATTACTTATTCTAAAAATAGAAAAGAACATAATGTCTATGGTGACTGTAAAGGGTCATGGGAAGACATTTCATTTGCAATTGTATTTGGTTGAGAAATCCCAAACCAGGAAATTGTTCTTGTTTGGGTTGCTCTTTTTCATGGAATTGTGACCTTTTGTAGTTCATGTGTGTTCCAAGCATTTGAAATATTCACAAATTAGTCAAATGGTTCAAAGCCTTACTGCTAGTTGTATTTGAATTTCCTGTTTTTCCCTTTCCTTGGATTCCACAGAGTAAAATTAGCAGTAGTTTGCCAGTGTGTGTTTCATTTCAAAGTGCCGAGAAGCTGCTGACTGTCTGCCAGTTACCCAGTTAAAAACAAAAAGTATAGCTAAGGACATCTTCCAACTTTCAATTGCCTTCTGCTGCAAATTTGCATTTAGAACGACACAAACATCAAACTATCACTGAATATGCAGAAAACAGATCTTTTATAAAAAAAGCATTAATGCCAAAAGATAGGCAAAGCACTGCTTAAGATTAAAATTGGACGTTGACCAGTTTTCACACAAGATAAAGTTACTGGATTCCTCTATTTCAGATCAGAAAGATACTCCCAGTATTTAAAGTTTTAAGTTGGTGTGTTTCTATTGGTTTCAGTAGAGCCACACCAGTTTATACTAGGTGAAGATCTAGCATTACACTTAGAAATATACTCTCGAAAACTGTTAATCTTGGCATTCTGAAAGAGCTACTAAAGTAATAGCTCTAAAACAAAGTTATCAGTTTGTACTGTATAGTTTTGTAGGAAAGGTGATTAAATTTTATTTTGTTCTGGTTTATTCTTGAATTTAACCAGGGTAGAATATTACCTATCTGGTGAGTTATTTTCAGCTGTCTTAAACACTGTAATTTTCCATGTCATAATTTGCAGATAGTTTGGATAATTGCTTGGTCTCCAAACCATCAGAATCCATTACATCACTGCAGGTACTTTTCTTGAATGGCATTGAAGAATCAATGCCCAATGACAAGCAAAGCAAAAGCATGCATTAAAAATAAAGGATTCTTTCGACAAGAATTACTACTGTGGTGCTTACTCTTATGAGCAATTGCACTGATGCTAGAAGAATCATTGGAGTTTGGAGTTTTATAGTGGCAACAAACTCAAGGTGGATCCAAAAAGAAGGACAGCTTTGAAATGGTGGAAATGATATTAAAATGTAGGATAGTCTGAAATGTCTGGATCGTCTGATCCAGAATATATCTGAGCGTAACTGAGTATCCACATTGTCTCTGTCTGAACTATCTTGGATGTGCACATTGGTCTACTCTTCATGGTCAAGGTTTTTTGAATGGTTTAGTCTACATTGCCTCCTCTGGCTTCCACTCAAATATGCCCTTCTGATATTTTTCCCTCTTGACTCTGAAATTGTAAAATAAACTACCCTGGGGTCATTAGCTCCTCAGTCCTGTCTGGATGAGAATGGATAAAAAAGCAGCTATAGATAGCATGAATTTCAGCAAGCAGCAACAAATTGAGGTGGGAAGTATACAACTCCAGCTACGCTCCTAACCAGACAGTTGTCAGAGATACTCGTCTCGTACACTGGAGAATGCAGCAGGCTGTAGAAATTTCAATTACAGTGGCTTTTCATTTTTCGAAGTTTAGTCACATAAAATCCATTTAACTTGTCAGATGGATTTTTCTCAGCATATCAAAGGAAAAACATCTGCTTGTGTGAGTCCATCAGGACAGTATCTTTTAGTAACTTCTAGAAGGAGTTAGTTTTCTTTTCATGCTGTTTAGTGAGTAAAGGTTAAATACAGCTTTCAGCAGAAAAGCTCTTGCTGTCTTGATTTTGAGGTAGTTGCTCCTGTCCTGGATATAAAACTATATCACAGGGATATCATCAAGAGAATCAGGGGATGATATCAACTTTATTATTTTTAGTATCATTTCTTTCCGTTTCTTCTTAAGTCCTGCAGGAGAATGACAGCAAATCACTACCTTAATGTATATGCCTACAAACGTTGCAGGTGACCATAAAATTTTCTCATCTATTTTTAAACTCAATGCTTGTTTCTAAGAATGGCTATTATTACATATTACAAAGGCTGGTTTTACACTTGAATGGAGAAATATAATCACTTCCCTGTTTTAAATATTTCTGCCTTTAGCTCATCATAGGACACTCTGCTCTTATTAGGAAACAAAGAAATAACTGAGTAATTTTAATGCTATCTTCTGCATAGTTCATCTTCATACAATTCACTGATGATCAGTAGTCACTGATTCTCCATGGGCTTCTAAAATTCTCTACAGGAAATGGCAACTGTGACAAAACAAAATTTGGAGTATCCCCCCACCCCGATACTGAAAAAATACTACTCTGGTGGATGTAAAGGCAGAGAAGATAGGTCAAGATTACATTAACATCACCCATCTTCCTCAGCTGGTTCTAGTCTCTGCCATAGAATCATAGAATCATTATGGTTGGAAGAGACCTCAAAGATCATCAAGTTCAACTGTATACTCGATGCCACCATGCCCGCTAAACCCACTAAACCATGTCTTGAAGCGCCACATCTAAACGTTTTTTTAACACCTCCATGGAGAAGTACAAAGGGCTCACTGCGTTGGGGACTTCTGAGATGACCTTTCTTCCTTGATAGTGTTATGTTTTAAGTGTATTTCTCTCAAGAGTAATCTCTGACCAACATATAAATCTTTAAAAGAGGAGATAAAACCTTCTGACTCAAAAAGCACCTCAGCATCTAAGACAGTACCACAGAGGGAACACAGTGAACCCATCACCAGCCACTGTTTTATATAAGGGCACACTTATCCTGGATCCCCTATTTCAAAATACTCAGTAATCACCCAGAAGTCCTCCTCTGAACCTTCATCAGGCTGTTGTGCTTACC